ACACCATAGTGTTAAAGCGGTCTCCAAATTACTTTGTGGTCTACACTTTCAAATGCCTTTTGAAAATCGATGATGTTGAGTCACATGTTTGACTGCCATTTCACGCTTTCTTATTCGATACAGAGTGGGGGACCTTTCGGCTCAAATCTAATCAAAAATGGATATCCAGCCTACTTCATCGGCAAACATTTGAAGAGTAAGACCAATCCTCTGCGGTTCCTGAATGTGCTGAGGAAATCACATAATGTAAATGTCTTAATAGGCCAAGAGAGGGATAATGGCTGTACAAACTTCTTTTAAATGCATAGTTTACTTTTAGTAGTTCGAATGCCTATCGCCTCAGATGTGTGCAGTAGACGAATACGAAGTCTGTTGAAAAGATTCGGTGGGATACGATGAATTACTCTGAATGCTCTCGTTTTCTAAACTACTTGACCTCTACCAAGTGAATGTGACAAAATGTAGCTGCGGATAGTGCTTGTCTGTCCTTTGCCAAACCACGATGGGAGATGTTCACTAACACGTTGGCTAAGCTGTATAGTAGTACGCTCAACATAAATGTTACTGCAGGTGCAGTTGAATTGATAAATGCACATAGACGTGGCAAAAATACTTATCTTATCCTTCGTTTGCGTCTCAATCATTCGTCGACTAGAGAATGACCATTATAGGTATGCTGCGCGAAACGTTCTGCGTATATTCCTGGAAAGCTTCTGGAATAAAATCTCCCTTGATAAGTCACCATTAAATTGGAACCTAATTAATAGAGGGTTTTTACGGGCAGTCATAGTCTCAGGTTTTCTCTCTGATGTTTTCATATGTTTCTTCACAAAACTACTCGGATAGCCCATCTCCGTCAAGGAATCATGAATATATTCAAATTTCTTTTGTAAGAGGTCGTCCGTAAATATCTTTCTTGCTCTGCTCGTAAGACATTTAACAACATTTCTTTTATATTTAATGGGCGAGTAACTGAGGAAGTGTGTGTGTTTTGACCTATGAATGTGCTTTTTCTATACACGCTTCTCCCAAGTAATCCATCTTCTCGCTTACTCAACAGGACATCCAGGAAATGTAGTTTACTATCCTGCTCCTCTTCACAAGTAAAAGTAAACGAAGGATGAACATTGTTGGATTTCATCAACAATTCGTCTATGTTTACATTCCCAACAGATAAGATAAATGTATCATCGACATAACGGTAATTCAATCAAATTCCTTGGTGCCTTTCAATTTCTTGTTTTCAAAGTTTTGCGAGGAAGAAGTCAGGTAATATTGGGCCTAATGGTGAACACATAGCTGTTGCATCTACTTGTCGGTAGTATGAATTATTGAAGACAAAGTGCACATTCATTGTGCACTTAAGGGATGATTCTTTGAGTCTACACAAAGGAATTCTTAAGTCCAGTTGCATTTCGGTGATTTCTTGACAAATGTAATCTACCGTTTCTCCATAAGTGGTACATTCGTGAATAGTGATGATACATCCATGGATAAAATGCGTTTGTCTCTCACATTAGTCTCGGATAATTTAGAAATAAAGTCGAAAACATCACTAATTCTGTGCTGCACCATATCTTTGCGAAAGCGTTCCAGAATCTTCAATAACCACTTCGCTGTTCCGCGAAATGGAGTGTTCTACCTGAAGATTTGTTTGTTTAATCATGCTGCTTTCCGTTATTCGTATTATCACAGATCGCCTCACTTTTTCATTCTTATTATTTACAGAACCATTATTATTATTATCATTATCATTGCTACTATTATGACTAATTGCACAATTTATATTCACCATCGTATTATCCTATAGACAAAACACCATGATTGGTTTATATTTGAGCTGTTATTTGTAAAGTTATGTAGGCATATTAGAATTAATCCTGATGAGATCTAATTGAAAGCACAATATTGTTCGCTTAAATGTGTTGTTCTAAATTTTACTATGCCAATGTTAAATATTTTAAAAGGTAATTGCAAAATAATGATAATAATGTTTGTAGTTAAGATTATCAATCAGTTATATCGAACAACACTACAAACAATTTTAGGAATAAAATTACACGATTGTTAATGGCGATTCTTATACATGATTTGCAGTTACAGTGAATTCATAGGCATATGTACACAAGGAAAGCACTTGTAAATAATAATAAAGTAAGTAGCTGAGACTGTCAGTATGGTCATCAAAGATTACATATAGGAGATAGTAAAAGGGCCAATTATTTAGCTAACAACAAGGTAATTCATAAATCAAATAGGTAGCTACTTACCCAGTCAGTTGGTACTTTTATTCGTGAGTTAGTCAGTTAGATGGTTGGTGAGTCAGTCAGTTATAGAGTTAGTTAGTTAGTTCGTTTTGACGCAAATCAGTCAATAAGCCAAGATAAGATTATCTGTGTTAGACATTTGTTGTGGATGTCGTGCATATTTCTAAGGTAGACTTTTGAGAAATAATTGACACGACTCAGAGCAAAGTATACAAACAGCTGAGTTGAAAACTGTATTCTATTTCTAACTGTGCGTCGGTGGCACAGCGGTTAGTATTCTCGCCACCATACACATCGTACGGGGTTTGATTCCCGGCCGACGCACACCTGATATCAATGGTCGGCCTGCAAAATATAGGCTACCGATATCACATGCTGAAAAAACCATAGTTGTACCAAATACTGTCTGGTTTCAAGCTATAATAATAAAAAAGTACCAAGGAACAGAATTCAACCAAAACGAAATATAACAGTGATGCATATGAATTGATGAGATTGGATTTCATCTCCTTTAGTGTGATGTTATTTAAACATGGTTTGTGAGGACTAATTATGATTACGCATAACCTAGAATCAAGAGTTTCTGTTTCGTGAAAAGGCAGCATCACATGAATTTCAAAATAAATTTCGTCACAAATTAGCACTAGTTAGAGATCACTGAAAACCAGTTAAATCTTTACTCCTCCTTCGTACCAGATAGAGGTGTTCAGCAGCACATGCTGACGGCAACATCACTTGAATTGATGCCGTGTGCAGAGTCTTTTAACCCACTGGCCTATAATTCAATGCACCATGAATTCAAGAAACTGTCTGTTCGTAATAAAAATTTACAGCCTTATAATATCGCTGATAAATAACTTTTTTAACACAATCGACTAACAAATTATTATTAGAACTACAGGGATCATACTCCATAAGTTGTCGATATCAAACGGGTGTCATGTGTGCGAGCTGTTGAAAGTTATCAGAATAGAAGAGGACAATTGTCCACCGCCTCCTGAATTTTAAGTGTTAATGATGAAACCTACGTTGAAACGATAAGTGTTATTTCTTCAATGCGAATCCATTATTCCGCGGATATTTTGAATACTTTACATATTGCATGGGGGATTTCATTATGGGCTGACATCAGTTAGAGAACCACTGGAAAACCTTGGAGTACTGGACAGCTGTTTCGTCCTAGTTTGGGACTCTTCATCAATATGCACCCACCGGGATTCGAATGCAGGACCTTCTCGTTACAAGACGAGCTCATAGACCATTGAGCCACTCACTGGGACCCGATCCAATGGCCAGCCTATGAATTCTAACTTCCGCCATTTCACGACATAGCGCGACCATTTCGCAATGTCTTCTTCAATGAGTTAATGCCTCATCTTCAACCTGCTGTACCCTACTGGTCACAGCTTCCCACTAGAACCCCAGGTTAACTGCCTGAATTGGGCCAGTCACTAGTGAGCATCAGAGTTGATGTCAGCTCATGATGAAATCCTCCATGCAGTGAAACAAAATCCCTACAAAACCAATACTTGAAAATACTTTACATATTTCAAAATTTGATGCATTAGATGAATAGTCGTCTCATCAAACAAGTGAACTACTAATGTAATCTCTAAACGAATACTGCATTGTAAGTGGCAAAATATCGAAATATAGCAGCCACTGGTAAATTCTCTCATGCACGTATTCCTTCTTATTTAGGAGTTTGGATAAAGCAGAAATAAACGTTTGTGACACCCTTTTTTATTTCGTCAATTTTCCTCCAGCTGCCAATAAACGAAGAAGCTTTCTGCTAGATAGATGAAGTTACACAAGATTCTTCCAAAGGTGAAATGAAGTTACTTAATGAGAGAAACCAAACTTAATGGACGTTGCTCAGAAATGACAAATATATACTTTGATGCAGGTCATACAGTTTTCACCCTCAAATCCTTTCAAATTATCAAACAATCACAACAATGGTTGCCAGGAGATACAGTTATATCATTCTTGGAGAATCCAGACAAGTTCACTTCATACTGAAGCTTGTGCTGAGGATGTCGTCACGTGTTAAAAGGTATCATGTAATCGTCACAAGCCCGTTGAAATTACTTTGTTCATTTACATCATTGATTACTATCCTAAGGTCGTGCAGAAGTGATGAAAAGCCAACTAAATAATCAAAACCACAATCATATTCTACACCAATCGTTGATTTTGCTTTATTTAAGCATATAAATGTATTTACATACCCTATTTAATGTGTATACACCAAAGTATACATTCCAGTGGTGTTTATTCGAATTTGTCAACTTTTTCTGATTGCCTAATTCTCCTTTTCTCAAAAAACTATCCAAGCATTAAGAGAATAAACAATTGTGCTCACCGAAAATGTAGCGATCTCTCGAGTCTACTCATAACGGAACAACAATTGGTGATTATCTCCTTCCCTCCCCACTCACCATTAAACCACCCACTCTCCTGCCCCACACAAAACATTTGTTTAAAACAGTTTGTTGGTCCTCATAGTACATCACATATCTCCACACACGCATATTCATCACGTCATAACAGTTAAACAAATCACATCATAACGCTAACTCAGTATAGACAATTTTCACGTGGTTCCCTTTAATTTCGGATTGGAAATCTAGCTGCACAGAAGTAGACTAGCCAATTAAGCACTTACCGCTGCCAACAAGCAGACATAAAAAGAGATTGTAAAGGGTACAAATCAGTGGAATGAATACTAGAATGAATACAGCTGGTCATACTCACAATACTTCTAATGATACTGTCAATGCTAGATTCAGCAGTCCTCAACATTTTCGAGAAGGTATTTCCCGTCTTCTTGAGCAGAGTACAATACATGGATTGCCGCATATTTCAACATCATCAAACAATTGTGCACGATTAATATGGTTCACTTTATGGTTAGCTGGTGTAGCCGGTTTCCTGACTAACCTTTCGCATGTTGTAGCACATTATTTATCACATCCAATTTTGACCAGTTACCATGAGGATCATGAAGAATTTGTGTGGCCAGATATCACTTTCTGTAATACTATGGCACCGTATAATTTAAATACACAGGAAAGACGAGCACTGTGGAATCGCTATGTCAATCGGGCGAGAAATCTTTCAACAATGAATCATATACCGAAAGATCTGTTTATTAGTATTGATGAAGCCGATACTGATGAGATTTTCCTTCAGTCACTAGTACGTTCAAGTATACCTCATTGGAGATTCAGTGTTGGCGATGTAGAGGATATGTTTGATTATATCGCTCGAGAGGATAGACATGAAGGGATACGACTGACAGTAGAGATGGATGTGAAATTAACTGAAATGCCAAGACCATGGAAAAATTATTTCTATACACAAATATTACAAAAGCATTATAATGTACCATGTCACAACTTTCAGGTAAGTTGACAGCAGTATTAATACCGAGATAATTGCGGTTATTTTATGTGCTCCGTAGAATCTGACCAGCAATTTCTGTAATGTATGTAGTAAATTCCTCGGTATCTGGGTGAAACATACGATTTCGAGTACAAGCATCAGTTTGATAGTTTACTCTGCTATCATTTTCCACTAGCTTTATGAAGTCTGTCCACAAGCTTACATTTGCTGTTCTCAGCGTCTCCTCCGTATCACACAAGGAAGCAAAACTCACCAATTCCAACTCAGATTTAACTTGAAGACCTGACAAGCATTGTCACTTAAAGCGTTGATCAGCGTATGCTCAATCGATACATTTCGATTTCTCTCTGCATATTTTCTGGGAAAGGGATTATTCCTGATTAGTTTAATGCATATCAGAGCTTCTTATTGTTGTTAACTTATCCTTTCTGGCAAGCTATCTGGTCTTCAGTATCAACCCAGAGAATGCAAGGAGACAGGTGTTCATGAAAATAAACAGTAACTTATTGGAGATAACTGCTCAAGCGTGGTGCCACACCCTGAACGAGAATGCAACACTGACTGGCTTGATGTTAGTCTTGCAAATTCGGATCTTGTTCCATGCACTAGTTCCTGAAGGTCGCCACGTTGGTTTCAGAGCAATAAATGCCTGTCTTGCTTTCATGACATCCTCATCCGTGCCACTTAACTGTACATGGATTAATGCTATCTAGCAAGGAAAGTGAGAGACACGACTTAATCCAGATTTCTTCCACTCATCTTAACTACTGTATACTGTAATTTCAATAATTTACCTTATATCGTTTTGATTCCCAGACGATGCACTCCTGAATGTCTACTAATTTACTTATCTATAGTAATACTGGAAGAGAGTGAGTCTCAGGTGTGTGTGAGACCAGACACATCTCCATGTGAATTTAAAAGCAACATCACTGAAACTTCAGATGTCAAAACTAGAATGTCTCCGTATATTACAATCGGAATGTATTGAATGAAAGAAAAGAACTGCATGTTTCAGGTGAAAGTACCAGTCCAAAACACAGCTATTTATGGTTGGAGTTGAAAATTTTTTACAAAAATTTATGTCAAATAAGAGTAGCTTGAAAATCGGTGAGTGATGGACCAACTAAGTCATGACAATGTCTTTGAGTGTTTTCATTTAAGCCAAGTTTGTTAGTGTAGGCTACCTGATCGGGGACTTTGGGACGGTCGGAAGATAGTGGTGAAAAAACTCGAAGAGTTATCCGTCATTCAGATTCTGAAAACATTACATACTTTCATTCAAATGAACTGTCGTCAATATTTGACTGAATAGTTCTAAAATATTTGGGCACCGAGTAAGAAGTAGACATTTGTAAAAAATTATTTTGGAATATCTCAGCGATATTGAAGTGAGTAATTCCAACGTTTCGTTCGGCAATCTGGTCCGAACTTCTTCAGAGAAATTAATCAAAATTAACATAATAAAGGTTTTATATATAAAAGGCACATCTTTTGTTTTTAAAAACTTTGTCCAATCATGATTCATAAACACAAGTATTAACAAGTATAATAAACAAAATTGTATGAGCTGTGATCAAAATTTGACCTCGGACCTACAATTATTGGTCTACCTACATACTTTCTATCGATAAACATAAAGTATCAGGTTCCAGAGGAACTACTTAACAAAAGACCTTGTGCAACCGATTATTACAGCCTGATGACAATAATTCGACAGTCTTCCAACTAGAGAAGCTCATCAGCTCAATCATCGTCGTATAACAATGTCAAATAGAAGCGAGGTCCAAAAAATCGCTGAATTTTCAACAATTGATGATCTTTTGTGGAAACCAAATCCTATCTTCTAGATGTAGTCGTGAGAAACAATAAATTTTGTTTGAAATCTGATCCAATTACTAAAACAGCATCACTGAGTACTTGTGTCATTTGAAAACCAACTAATTCACCGTGAAATTACACTCATATACCTCACTCTCCTCAAATTCCATTCTCGTCAAAATGACACCTGCACTCCTAACTAACTTGTACTTTTTGAAAAGCATTAGAGGAAGAAATTAGATGAGAATATACTTCTGTGTGGTAGTCGATAGTCACACGTAAGCGAAATGTCACACCGAGCAGGTTGCTACTTGTGTCTGTTTTCTGACAAATATTCTCATCTTCTCAGTGCATCTGGCACACATTCAATGTATAGACTGTCACTGTGTTTGAATACTAACACTGCTGTGGGCTGTAGGTGCATTTGTCTGTCGAGTTGTAGAATGGAAAGAAACACGTGTTGTGCATAGTAATTCTGCACGTCATCGTATATTGAATTCAAAAGCAATTGTTATTCAGCGGTGTTATGGAAGAGTTCGTTCTAGGAGAGGGATGTTGGGTGGAGTGCTAAAATAGACGACTAGTGACCAGTGACGTCCTCGTTTCCAGAGGTTATAGGTCGTCGACTGAACGCACTCTTCAGTCGTATAACTATGTAGTTGCTTCTAGCTGAAATGAGATTTCAGAATTAAGTCAATCCCTGGATAAGCGGGTGAATAATGAGCCAGGTTCTACTAGAAACCTGAATCCCCTGCTTTTGATATTGTAGATGACCACCTCTCAAGAGTAGCTAATTCAACCGATTATTCAACTATAAGTTTTCAGATGACTTAATCCGTGCTGGTATATTTCCAATCATGCTTTCCTCATTTGGAATGATTGTAGCCATAGTTCTATTTGTTTGCCTAGATTGCGCGTTATTTAAACAAATCAATAATGAAGAGAATAGAAAAAGTTGGATTCTATTTAAAATCTAATCTCCATAGTTATTTGATTATTAATTCTTCGTACTATCCACACATAATTGATGTCTACATCACATCACCAAATCATTTTCCTGTGAGAGGAGTTATTGAATTAACCCCTGGATATATTCATCATGTACAAATAGAAATGGTACGTCATCAACGTAACCAAGAAAAGCGACGGTGTCATAAAGAAAAGTATTCAGCAATGATATACGACGCTGATCTAGTGACAAAACGTCGAATTTATGATACTGGTGGAGATTTATGCCATCGATTATTGTCACAATATTTATATCTACAAGAATGTCATTGTTATAGTCCCTTTCTCCCGTATGGTTATTTCCCTGAATTACTTAATATAACTGATAGTAATGATCATAATAATTATAATAGTAGTAATACGAACACCAATGGACCAATTTCACAGCCAGTCTTGTGTTTAAACTTGTCAGTGTTCAGTGACCATCAGCTGTCGCGAAATGTGAATTGTATGTACCGTGTATTCAAAAAGTACAGCAATTCTAGTGTATATATGAGTTTGAAAGGAGCTAAACACTGTGAATATTACGCAAACACACCGTACTGTGATGAAGTGAAATATAATCATTTCCGTATAGTAAGTAACCCAATGTCAGAATTATGGGGTAATACGTATAATGAAGCGAGAGGTGACTTTGTATTCAGTTTATTTCGTGGTGATCGAATGGAGGAAATTAGTATTCATAATGATGATAGTCCAAACAATGATAAACATGATCCAAGTAAATACAAGACAGTGATACCCAGAAATGAATCAGCACTTCGACATATTCTCTATCAAATACGTAATAATTTTGCTTTATTAACGATAGAACGTGTTAGCTCTCGTGGCAGACTAGTTCTCGAAGAAAATGACTACCCGCTGTCTCGACTATTATCTGATATTGGTGGTAATATGGGATTATGGATCGGTATATCTGTGATTGGTTTATTTGAATCTTTCGAACTCATCGGTTACATCATATACGCATCAATTAATTGTTTTAAAAGATTCATCAATAATTCATTCAAATCATAATGTTTTAAAGTTCTGTCGAATGTTTTCTTCGATTCTCTTCAAAAACGTGTGAGACGCCAGTCATATTAGATTTGTTTCACATTTTCATCACATTCATCTCCTTTTTGAAATTGACCAGTGAACAATGAACAGTTTCGTCCATCCTCATAATTTTACGTGCAGTATGAAATCACTGACATTCAAGAGTGAGCATTACTCTGATGTTACATAAGAGAGAAAGGAAGTGAATATACTTAGATGGCTACATTTATCTATATTCAGTTTGTGTGCACCAACGCTTTCTGTTTACTGATATACCGCTTATCAAAAATTAATTTGTTAACAGTGATCACTTGTTTTGTTTTGATTTCACTTTTCAAAAGAAAAAACAGCTCCAAGACAGTCTATTGCCGTCAATTCGTTTAGATTTGTCATCTGATATCATGAATTACTGAGTCTTGTTCTAGAGAAAGACGCATTGTGTGAAATAATGTTTACGCACAATTGAATTTTAAATTTTTTGTGCTTAATTCAAATGTTATTACTCGTGTTGATTGTCAGTAGATGATATTCAAGCTTTTATATATTTATTAACTGTATTCACGTGAATGCATTAGCGTACTAACAGTAATTTAGACATATATATATATATATATATATTGACATACATTAATGAAATGTTTTGTGAAGACTTTAAGTTGACAATGTTTATTAGGGCTGTGATGTTTGCTAGCCTCAGAACTTAAGTATCAACATGTCGGTGGAGAACCTGTCGTTCAGCGAACGTGCAGAAGGAAATGCAGGTGGATCAAACACATGCTGAGGTTACCACTGAGTGATGGTGTGAACCAGGCCCCCGATTTGCACCAGCATGTGAAACGACAAGTTCGATATGGGTTTGAGGGTGTCACGGATGTCATCGTGTGGTGGGGAAATGAAAGCTCACAGCTAGTTAAGAAATGATTGAAGTGAAGTAAGTAAGTGAAATGACTATGTGTCACTAAACTGCCCTGATTCACTCGAAACAACTTACGGCGAAGAGTCACTTTTCGGAGAATTCATAAACACAATTGTACGATCGTATTGTATATAATTACCCTCAGATGTAAGTGTGCATTTCCAACAAATGAAAAGCAGTTTAGAATGTTGTTCGCGTCATCAAGTCATTTCGATACAAGTATCAAAATAAGATGAATGGAAGATGAAGAGAGTGAACAAATTGTTAATTAAGATAAAAATGATTTTCTTTTCGACGAAGTTATCATCCAGGCTGTACATTCGTGTATTATATTTATGTTTATTCAAAGCTTCGTACCGCTAAGCAGAAAGAGGAACCTGATACACGCTCTCTCCTCAAGGATTCGGAAGATATGCAGCGAGGAAGTGATCGAAGAAGAACTGCGTAACCTCCGGAAAACCCTAATGGAAAACGGTTTCCCGCCCAGGTTCATGGTCAAGAATCTCAAACCTAAGAAGACTTCTGAACAAGTCCAATCCGTCCCAAAGAAAATACTTCTGCTTAATCTGGAATTCAAAGGTGATATCGAAGCAGAAATCCTTCGCAAACGCCTCTCCAAATCGCTGAGGAAAACATACTTCGCCGCAAGCCTACGACTGACGTTTTCCTGTAAGAAACTGTTCAACCAGAACGCGAAAGACAAGCTGTCGCATTGGGCCACCTCAACGTGCACATACCAGTTCACTTGCTTTTGTGGAGCTGAGTACATCGGCCGTACCATGCGTCGACTTGAAAAACGCGCTCGCGAACACTACCCAGCCTGGCTAGTAAAAGGAGACCGAAAACGTGTATACAGTTCAGTGACAGAACATCTGGTCAACTCAGGACATTCAGCGCCTTTCGAAAAGTCCTTCAAAGTAATATACAAGATTCAATCAAACCTATCAAAGGGAGTGAAATCAAGACATTTGGGCATAGCTGAGGTGTTAGCTATCCAAAAACTCAAACCCACTCTTTGTATCCAAAAGAAATACGTCCAACCCCTGTCCCTGCCATGGCCATCGTAAACAGGTAAATTTTTTTAATAATGACCATCCCATCGCGTTTCTTATCTAAACTTCCTGTTTATTCATGCTCTTTTAAGTTTTCTTAATCCCTGTCTACACTACCATATTTTCATATCCACACTTCCTGTTTTTTTGTCATTTTACTATTTCTACATATTTAATCCCTGATTGCATAAACAATAATTCACCACACTAGTTTCTTATCCAAACATCCTGTATATTTTGTTATTTTTACATTCCTAACCCCCACTTGCACAATGTCAATCTTCTTAGTTATTATGTTACTTTGTTTGAGTTTTACCCATCCCCCTGTTCATTATGGCATTCTAATTCCTAATTGTAATTTTTATTAATTTAACCTCTAACCAGAAATTGTTCTGGAACTTTCCCATCTATTTGATATAAATACACGAATGTACAGCCTAGATGATGACTTCGTCGAGAAGAAAATTTTCTTCGCTGCAACTGTCTTTTTATTCCCTATGATCAAATGTGTATATTCCGTGATTTGAAGACGAGCAAGAACCGTGTGTCTGCTGCTCAGCGGCTGCTTGATCTCCATCGGCTTCTATTTGCTCAGCTTGAAAGCTGGATATCTAGCAAGGATAATTTATCCTCTCATTCCGCTTCATCTGATAGTTCGTCTGGTTGATACGCTGATTGATACGTTGACGTTTCTCATGATTTTGTTGAGCTCACCATTTTCATCGTCGATGATGAGGGTATCATCCACATGACCACTAAACCTCGAGAAGTCTCGTTGTTGATAGGGGGATATTAGACTCAATGTGGGTTATGAGGCAGTCGATGAGTACAGCCATTATACTCTTGTCTGCAGATGAAGGAGAGCTGATACATGCAGGCTGATGTGGTCAAATGCTGCACATATCCTATCAATCTATGGCAGATTAGATTCTTGCAAGAATTGATTACCCGTAATATGACAACCGAGTATGTTATACTGAGAGAAGTTGGATGTGGTTTTCAGACGAGTGTCAACGAAAAAACTATATCACACGGATCCCATTCAATTAACATTTAACATGTATGATTATAAGAAAACGATTAGTTCTTCATAATCAGAATCACGAGATGTTTCGAAATAATCAAGGTTGAAGACAACTCATCAGATTTTAAGGTTCTTTCAATGTGGATGTGTTCAGCTAAACAATGCAGAATCCAGGGAAATACTAACAGCCGAAGGAAAATGGAGAGATGTGTTTTTTCTGGCCACAGAATTATCAAAAGTGATCACATACATGAATTTCATCATCAAGAACCGAATGCAGGTTCCTCAGCTAATATGACTTCTTGACTAAGATGGAATTCAAATCCACGACTTATGTAGTGTCACCACCACGAAATCTACTTTGAAATTACCCGAAATACACACAAACACTTCTTACGTGGAGGCTCCACATTCAATCTCTTTTCGGTTTGTTGGAGCACGCCACCTGAATCGCTCGAATTTAGAAATGAATATCTAGCCACTGAATATCGCTATTTATTGCTCCTCTCAAGGTGGCTAGTTTGCAACGAAATGCCTATGGCATCGAACATTATGAGTAATCGATATATTCCCTATTGCGGAGTAATTTTATTTGACAATAGAACGCAACGTGATACACTGTTATGCACTGATGATGCCCTTTCGAGCCTAATTCATTGAAATATCTCTCAGTTGTTCTGCCCATCCTTTATTATGGACACTTGACTGACACCGCTGAATAAAAATTGCTTTTGCATTCACCAGATATTAGTGAACAGAATTACAGTGCACAACACGTGTTTCCTTCCATTCTACAACTCGACAGACAAATGCACCTACAGCCCACAGCAGTGTTAGTATTCAAACACAGTGACAGTCTATTTATTGAATGTGTGCCAGGTGCACTGAGAAGATGAGAATATTTGTGCAGAAAACAGACACAAGTAGCAACCTGCTCGGTGTGACATTTCGCTTACGTGTGACTATCGACTACCACACAGAAGTATATTCTCATCTAATTTCTTCCTCTAATGCTTTTCAAAAAGTACAAGTTAGTTAGGAGAGCAGGTGTCATTTTGACGAGAATGGAATTTGAGGAGAGTGTGGTAGATGAGCACAAATACATAGGGACACACTTTGCTTTGATATAGCCACCCACCCACACACACATACAGTGATGCATTATTACTTACTTACATGCCTAATCACTGATGGCATTTCGAGCACAATTTATTTCTGCTCATAATCATACCAGTGCGTTATGATGTGATTGTTTAAATCACCAAGGGTTGACAAAACAATGGTTTCTGAAGTCTACTTCTTCACTTTGACAAATTCATGTGATGCATTTTTCGACAGGTTGTGTGGTAGGAATACCATAATTTTCATTGATATTAGATTGGAATTTGAGCACTGTGGTAGAGGTTGTGATTTCATATTGGAGTAATTTTATTTGATAAATCACACACACACGCAGTGATACAGCATTATTCAGTAACTGAAGAAGTTTCCAGTGGAATTTATTGATAGAAAGAACGACTTCAAGTTATTCATAACCCCTACCTCATATTACGTTTATACGGTTCCACTATTTCTCATCCTTCTATCTGATTGCTGGTAATATTCTTCGTTTTGCTAGTATTCGTTGCAGTGACATAATTCCTACTGCGTGTGTTAAGTGACTGGATCAATAGAAGTAGGTTTCAGTGGTCAATCTTTCCATTCACATTCTGACATCACTCTTCAGATCTGTTTCCCTGTTCGACAGTGTTCTATTCAGCTGGTGAGATTTTCTACATGCTACTCATCTACTCCGAAGTCAGTTATTCTACACGCAGCTTAGTATAATATGCGCAATAAAAATGACACGACGTTTCACTCAGAGATTCAGTAGGCATTGCTACCGACAAGATTGAAAGACGAGAAACAGTGGATTCATATTAGTGAAATGTAAGATAGGTTGCGTGAGGACCTTGATATGCTAACGAACATGGATAAATTGTGGTCA